CGTTATCATGGCTGGGACATGGATTCTGCGCGAACGGATGGGGTCGGTCTGGACGTTATCATGGCTGGGACATGGATTCCGCGTGAACGGATGGGGTCGGTTTGGACGTTATCATGGCTGGGACATAGATTCTGTGTGAACGGATGGGGTCGGTCTGGACGTTATCATGGCTGGGACATGGATGCTGCGCGAACGGATGGGGTCGGTCTGGACGTTATCATGGCTGGGACATGGATTCTGCGTGAGCGGATGGGGTCGGTGTGGGGATTCTGCGTCAACGCATAAACCGCACGCCCCAGCACTTCAGAGTGTATGCTGCTGACGAGGACGATGGCGGTGGTGGTCGGTGGTGTTGGTGGTGGTGCACAACACGACGCGATGGACGACAGTGGCCAAGTGGAAGTCATCAGCCCTCCCCCTCCAACCCTAAACTGCAAAACCATGCCAAAACCCCATGGTCGCTAAGGTGCGCGTTAGCAAAAATACCATTGCAATTGCAATCAACATTGTCACCATCATCACCACACCGTGAGCAACATAATCATTGCCACCATCACCGTTCACCACAACCATCATCGCCACCTTCATCATTATCGTCAGCATCAGCATCATCATCATCATCATTATCATCATCATCATCATGAAGATCATCATCGTCGTGCTCGCCGACTTCGTCATCGTGGTCATCGTCAATCGTCATCACCACCATGACCACCATCATCATTCGCATCATCCTCACCATCAGCAAGGCTGTAAGCATCGTCATGATGGTCATGATCAATCGTCATCACCGCCATCGCCATTGAGATAATCATGTTTCTTTCCATACGCGGGTTTGGTCGACGCCTTGCGAGGCGTACCGCACAATCCATTTGGCCCGCCCTCCTTTTTGCATGCACATCCTGACTTATCCGCGACACTTCCAGCCCTGTAGCTCAGTAGCAACGCAAACACTGGCTTTTGGCACCGTGCAGATGGGCTATTTAACAGCATGTTCATTAGCGACACATACTTTGTCCTAAGCCCTGAATCACGCACGGAGCACGAGCCCCTTGCACAAAGAGTACCTTGCCTCAGCCACAATGCAAGAAACAAGAGCACGCAGCTCCAAAGAAGGTCACACCCGATACCGGGACCAAAGCCAGGCAACATGATGCGTCCGTATTCTGCAACACTGGCTAACTCATGGAACGAAGATAGTTGCCACTTTTGAGTGCTTCAAGCTGTTGTGTTCTCGCCTTTCAAAACCACCGCACGCAGGAGCATTTTGCATGCTGTAAAGTCCCATCGTCCTTATATCTGTCAAGCTTTGCAGAGCAGTTGGCAAAAAAACTGCCATGTTACACGAAGACGGGCCTTTCCGTCTAAATGATTGAGTTCTCAACGTGGATGTCTGTGCCGGGGTCCTCCAGCTCAATGGCCAGCACACGCAACGACGACATGGAGATCGCAGACGCCTTGCCAGCAGGGAGAAACGGGAGGTCCGGGAGGTGTACCAGAGTGACAGGGAGCCGACCTAACAAATCAACAGGCACAGACGCAGACCATAATGCATTCGCGTACCGGAATCTCTGCGATGGATGGCCACCAGCATGCAGCAATACTCAATACCCCGATGCCTCGTCCTGGAGCCCCAGTGCCACCCTGAATGCTTGAACCTGCGAACGATGTGGAAAGGCCAGCACATCACTGGCATCTACCAAAACCAATCACCTGTGACTGCAGCAATGCTTACATGCGCTGACGAAAATGTGTCACCCTGGTAGCTATATCTGCCCGCCTTCTGCCCGGAATTCCTCCCACTTGATGGGATGTACAAAACCACTTGTGCCCGACAACATAAACACAAAAAAACACCAAGACACCAGTGAAATGTTAAACAACAAAAGTCACAACTGATGAAAGGACAAATGAAGCTTCTGAGCGATAACGACAAGACAGCAGGTCCAAACAAAACACAACCATGATGAAAAATATCATCTCTCGTATCGGGTCGTATCGCCTGAACCTGCCACAACAAGCAGCTGTGTCGTGCTAGGAACTTCAGAGTGGGTGCGTTAGTTAGGTTTCTCTGATCCGTGACGATGCAAGGTACGAATACTGCATGTCACAGAGTCACATACGCTACTTCCGAAGTGTAAACCTGAGTCATGCGCCTGCACGTCGCTGGTGGCCGCTATGTTGCGGCAAAGCTTATCAAACAGGCTTGGCAAAGGCTCCAAGGCCACCACCCTGGCACCCAGCTGTGCAAACCAAAGTGCTGCCGTGCCACTGCCGGCGCCCACGTCCAGCACCACGTACTTACCCTGCGACCTCTTCTTCACCAGAGCTGAAACAGCCTCCAGGAAACCTGATGTCTCAAGAGGCAACGAGTCGCTACCGTTCCTTTTGCTGTCTGCAGCGGCCGGGAGAAAGGAGTGTTGACATTGGGGTGGGCGGACCACGGTTGAGGCTGCCACTGAAAAGCGTCGGCAAAAGCCTACGTAGTCGGCGCCCACAGGGAAAGTCATTGTGTAATTGGCTGCACGTTTGAATTGACCTGTTGGACTGTCTGAATCAATGATGGATTTGCCTCTTCTCGCAAACCCCTCAGCCATGGACCACCAACCAAAGGTGTGGCCACGTTCTCGGTTTTTCCTTGCATAAGCTACATCCGGAAGAAGCCAGCGGCTGTCCTCATACCAAGGCAAATGCTTCGCAGTGTAAGGCCCGGCCACTCGCAAGCATGGTGCTGATGATCGCTTCAGCGGCTCAAGTCTCCGAAGTGCCATGGTGGTGTCGATTGCGGCATGGAGCACATGCTTCTCGCCGTCTACGAGGTTACGCTCCCGCCAGAACTCGCACTCATGCTGCCAAACTTGCGTGCGAGCAGCATAGTGCTCCGGTATGTCATCCAATCGCAGAGCAGCCCCCACTGTGTTTGCACCTCGGCGGTCCATGATCTCCCAGAAGTGCTGCAGCCAGTTCCGGGGCACGGTGGGTTCGAAGAGTATGTCCGAATCAGTCAACACAAACCGATTTCCGAAATGGCCGATGTATTCCGTCATCGGCATGGAACGGTTCCAATACAAACGCCCAAGAACCTTGGAGATCTCGTTCCCCAGATTTGCGGGCAAATGAATAACCCAAAGCAGTCTTTCTTTATAGTAAGACAGCAGCGGCTGGTAAGTCGAGTTGTTGTCCACCACAATCAGGTTGAAATAACCCAAATAATGCAGCTGCGACACCAACATCTGCAGGTAGTATAAACGATCGCGGCAAATTATGAAGATGGGAACACGCCAATAAGCAGAGGAACGCTCCACTTTGTCTTCGATCTCCACACGTGGGGGAACGACTCTTGGATGCAGATACGACGGTCGCGTGAGATAAAGTACCAAATTTTGGGAATCACTGAATCGAGGCAGTAGGAACACGACTTGAGTGATCCGCGCTGCAAGGCCCGACACTCTCATCTGTCAAAGGACCAAGGCCTGCCAAACAAGCCACAACAAGCTCCAAGTAAGATCCAAACGAGGAGTGGCACACCAGAATGGAACGTTGCCCATGGCTCGTAGCAGGGGTTTACTAAGCTGCGAATCACGATGGAAGCTCGTACGACTCAATGTTTGTGCATGATCCGTTCTTGCTCATGAACATGTTGGGTTTGACTGTAGTAGCAGGTTCTAGAAGAAGACTTTACATGTTTGCATCCGTAAGCAAGGTCCCCAACACAGCAAACTTCTCTTGAATCATTCTCCGCTGACAGCCAAAGTGAAGACAACCGGACACGCTCATCCAGGCCTCTGGCTGTCTGACCGGGTGACCGTCTGACTGTCTGACTGTCTGCTGCGCGGAAACGCACCCACTCGCGCCCTCAATCGACATTGTGGCTCACAATTGGGCTTTGTTTGGGCTGCCTCAGTTGGGCTCCTCTTTGGCCTCGGGATTGAAACCTCGTCCTTGCTTGAGCCTGGGTTTTTGGGACTTGGTTTGAACCCTATCCTATCTGATTTGAGCGGCGTTTGGGGCTGATTGGGGTTTCATCGCCAAAGGCGAAAAGCATGCTCCTGGATCTACTTCGTGGGCACCTCTGTTGAAGCTTACTTTCGCAGCTTAGAAGGCGGGCACCGTGCGATTTCACAAGAAGTGTGGAAGCAACCTTGGATCTGGAAACATGAATAAGCTGTTTGCACACCTACCCCTTATCACCCTAACCACAAACTCGTGTTGTGCTGGTTGGCTTTGATAAAGGGGAGCCACAAATGACGCACGTCCTTCGCTACTAAGGACAACCTGAGGCTCTACAATACGGGTGCTTGCCACAACTGGGAGCAACGAGCTCTGAGATGCTTCTACATTCGTCACATCCACACATTGCAACAGACCATATGCTAGAGAAATGAATCCACGTTACTCTCGTTTTCACATCCTGGCCTGGTCTTTCACATCTCCACTAGACGCAGCTCCGACCGGCTCAGGATCTGATTCCGCTGTATCTTCTTCCATTCAGGGAGGGACGCCCAGTCTGTGTTGAGGCACGGCGACAGCCGTGTCGGCGGAAACTGCCTTGACTCCATAAGCAAGGCTCTAACCTGATGGTCTTGCTCATAGAGCGGTTTGTCAACGTCAGACAGATTCAGCTCAGGATAGTCGTAGAAGGCATCGAAAAGATTAACATAGCCACCCTTAAGCGCAAACTCGGGGTTCACGTCGCCAGTGCTGTCAAGGAAGTGAAAGATGATGATCTTGGGACAACGGGCCTTGAAGAGCACCACGTCGAAATCCAGAGACAAAAGGTCAAAGCCCAAGTTGACAATAGCAGCCATCATGTGAAACTTGTTGGCCGCCGTCTTCTGTTTTCCAGCGATGCAGAAGCTTTGCTCTAGGTGCGCCTTGTCGCATTCCCCTTTGGCGTGGGCATCCAGGAAAAAACTAACATCCGCGGTAGCGCCCCAATGCTGCAGCACGACGCAGCCAATCCGCAAGCTACTTCGCGTAGCGCTGGCCATATACTGTCGTCATGAAAAACGATGTGGTGGCTGCTCGGGCGGTGGATGTTACATGTAGCAACAAGGTATCTGAACAAAGCCTGCAGCAGTTTCTGGTACACGTCACTGGGCCAGGCCACTAGCCGCTGCCTCATATCGCCCAGCAGCCAAGCACCGCTTGTGGCCAGGCTAGGGAGCTGTTTGCGCTCCGCTTCCGAAGTAAGCAGCTCTGTAGGAAACAAGTCAAGGGTGAAAGGCTTCGTCTGGTAGGAGTCTGTTCCAGACCGTGATCTCCAATGGACACTTTGAGCACCCATGTTTAGAAATGTCAGTAAGGGCCACTGGGTTTCAAAAAGGACTGGTAGCAAATCCGGAAAGGCATCTGCGACCTTCCTGAAGATCCGGACCACATGACTTAGCTGCAGAGGCACCTGCTCAGACAAGCCCCCCAGATACACCACCAAGCGGTGCAGCGACACAGCAAGCATGCCCAGTGGGCACTCCTTGATCTGGGCCTCTACATGTGATTCATTCCAGTCCTGCCACATTATGAACATAGTCAGATGCATCGAAATCCTTTTGCGAATTTTCGTCGCCTTTGTGATAGGTTGCTTCAAGCCTGCGTCGGAGGACTGTCCAACCGACGGGTGAAGGAGGAGTTGTGTCCGTCTCGGAGAAGTCCTGAACCTCTGAGGAATCGTCGCAGTCGACGCCGCGGAAAGCAGTCGAGTCAAAAGCTGCGGCAATCGCATTCTGCCAATTTCGAAGCCCTTGCATCGTTGTCACCCAGTACTCGAACAGGTGGCTCCAGTGTGTGTTCCAGAAGGTGGAGTCGCGGCCCATAGTGGCTGCCAGAGGCAGCAAGCACGAGCTTGGTAAGGCGAATGGGACCACTGCGAACCGTTTTGCATGAAGGGCGGTCCCAGGCCGCGAGCACACAGCAGGTCCAGTGGCTCAACCGTACCAAAAACCAGCAGATGTCTTCGAAAACAGCCGGAACCTTGGCAAATTTGCTTGCGTGGCCTTGCCACACCTTCTGGTTGCTGGACTGGCACCCGGCAGCTCCACGTCAGAGAGCAGGGGCATGATGGCCTACAACATCCCATTTAGGGGCGTTCCCTTCTTCTTAACCTCTTCTCGCTGGTTCTTGACAGGGAACTAGTGAGTCATACGAACCCTGAAGCTCCAATAAGTCTTAAATAAGGTGACGTGCTTAAATTTCCTAATAATGCGTAATCCAGATCTTTAAATAAAGCTTTAAACTCTTTTTAAAGCTTATAACCTTTATTTAAGCATTCTATCAGGTGTTTAAATGAAAATTTAAGGCTTTCAGCTTTCTATATAGATCTACATTTTGCTTTCAAAAACGACCAAGTTTGACATAATATTGCTGGAGCCCTGGCGGGCTCCAGAAAAATTCCTATACATCTTGCTTTTCACTACACTACACATGCAGGGCATGCAGGCCTTATACTGAGCCTAATCCTACCCTAAACCCTACCACAAAGCTCGCTCCTTTTCAAGCAGCCAGCACTGGCGGGTCGTTTCTGGCCTTGAACTTGTCAAGGACAACCTGGGAAGAGTTTCCCGGAGTGTTGTGGCCACCCTTGGCCCTCACCATGGTTGCAGTAGCTCCCCCGAAATCTTCATCTCGATAGCACCAGGTGTCCTTTGGGCATGTAGAGCTCTGTGAGAGGTGCAGGAGGAGGTGCAACTTCGGCTTCACTCGCCAGGTGATATTGTCACTATAATAATCCCTCAAGCTCACATACTGCAAAGCAAACCTTCGGACCTCTCGCTCCATAAGGTTGGGGTCATAGGGCTCTACATCCAAAGCAGCATAACATTGCAAAAGCAAAGACATGCAAGCCACAGCTGCCGAATCCAGTTCCCGAGTGCTGTCCAAAAGCTTTCTGCACAAGGCACCCCAAATAGGTATCAGCTTTCTGGTTTCAGCACCTTTAGCTTTGACCTTTGGAGCAGAGGCAGCATGCTTTCGAAACATGGTCTCTGTCAAAGTGGCCAGTCGATCGGATGTGACACCCTGGTTCTTGTACTCCTCCAAAATCTCTGTGAAGACCTCCCCAACTCGCTTGGCAATGTTGGGACCAGGCAGCTTGCTTTGCAGGAGCCACAAAACATTGCCAGCTGCATCTGCTGCACAACCTAAATCCAGAATATGCAGCCAGTCTAATCTGATGACCTTGAGGGAAAAATTTGGAAACTGCCAGACAGCACTTCCAAACCCACCTCGTGCACTTTATCGGTTGTCATGGGACAAATCCAGCAGCAACCATTCCTTTCGTTGTGTGCAGGCAGGGAAAGGGTGTCCTTGAACATTTTCCAGTCGCCCCTGATCTGTGTCAAACATGCACTTGGCAACTCTAGCCCAGCTAGACGAATACATGCCTTGTCGACTCGTGCATCGAAGGGGCTGCCATCGTGCCTTCGAGAACGATACCTTCCAACAGCCAGCTGCTCGAAACTCCAGACCAAAACTTGAGCGCTGCATCCATGCTACACTTCTTGGCCTCAATCATCTTCTTCAAACAGAACAGAGGCACCCGAAGGCCAGGAATAGATGGGAAGCTTAGAGCTATAACCTCCAAGCTTTGGGATCTGTCCCAATTGCATGGGACCCCATCATTCCAGAGCCCCAGTGGCAAAACTGTTGCTGGATCTCTCGCTGGCTGGCACGAGGAGGAAAACTTCTCAATCAGCTCAGCATCCTCTTGCAACACCTGCCGGCTCAGGATCCAGGTGGGATCACCAAACTCAAAAAGCTTGCCCACAATCTCATTGGGAAGCAAAAACGGCAAAGAGACCTCGCGGTTCTCCTCAAGCTTGGGGTCATGCAGCTCTATGTCGGCATAGTAGAAGTCTGGGGAGTGGGACCCGTTCAACATTTTCCTTTTTAGGCCTCTGGCTGCATTCTTCTCCCCCACCAGAAGCCAAGTCGTCCACACCAGTGGCACCTGAAGCTTGAGCATCCTTAAACAGGGAAGCTGTCCTGGCAGCTGCGATCTGCCCTGCCAAAAAAGCATCCGAGAGATTGGCCCGAAACCTTGTCGTCTCAGGAACCTCTTCCTCATTGTAACCACGACTGTTCTTGGAGTACATGTCTTCAGATCTAGATCGAATTGAAGTGAAACAAAAGATAACTTGACAAGTTGAACTTCTGCGGTGCAGGGCACACAAGTGACATGAAAAACACCTACCCAGCAACATTGCACAGCAAGCACAGTTGTCAGCTGAAGTCTCTGGGTGCATGCACTCGCCCTTTTGCATGCAAAGGGCCCACTGGAGAAGACCTTGGCTGCATGCAAGCAGAGATGTTCAGTATAAGCTTCAAAGAACAACATGCACTGCATGCTGTCTGGCAGGAAAAGTGGATGCAAAGCACTGTTTTTTTGAAGCTCGCATGCCATCGACTCAAAACCAAAACTGCAGCAAAATGCTGCTGGGGAACCAGATCCATGATCGATGGATCTTAGGCCAGCCAGCCCTTCACCTTCTCGAGCAACAACTTCACATTGTCAAGATGCTCGTTGGCATTGCGATTCCACTGCTCGATGTCGGCTTTCTCGGCCTTGCAGGCTGCCTCGTCCATCGAGGAAAGCCTGCGATCCAGCAGGACCTGTGTCTTTCGAAGATCCTCCACAAAGTTCTTCAGATTCTCCAGGCCACTCCGGATCTCCGGGGCTTTGAAAGCGAACTTGGAGTTCTCCAGAGCAATGCATTCCGAGCTCAACTCTCCATGCTTTGCATCCAAGCTTTTGATTGCACTGTTGGCCACTTTGCTCAAGCTCGTTAGCTCGGTTCACTCGGGGCGCTCCAACTTCACCTTAGCCTTGGTGTTCTGCAGGCTTTTCATGTCCTTCGCTGCAAGGCTAGCAGTCATCTCGAAGGTGCTTGAATCGGTCGATCGGGTTGCATCTTTGCTTTCCACCAAAGTCCTGTAGTAGTACCTGCTGAGTTCGGGCAGCTTGTGGGGCACCACGTTCCTTTCGTGTCCCCAGAAACTCTCGGACTCCTGGAGGAGACCCTCCAGCAACTCCTTCTGCTTCTTTTCTGGAAAGTCGCCGAACTTGAGGCCATTGAGCTCGAAAATTCGGGACCTCAATGGCATTGAAAAGCAAAGCATCAAAAATAAAAACTAAGAAAACCAAACTTATAGCATCTAAGAGTCGAGGTCATCATGCCCTTGATCGAGTGATCCTCTTCTTCATCCTCCTTGACAAAACTGGCCCATCCACTTCAAGTCCTTCAGCCCATGCTTCTGGTAGCCAGCGACGAAGCCTTTTCGATCCGAGTCGGAGATCTGTCGGTAGGCCTGGCACATGCAGGGTCACAAAAAAATTAAAAAGAAAACAATGTCTAACACTGGGCAAATGCAACCCGGCCTCCAGCACTTCCTGGGCTTCGGTCAGGCGATCCCCACTTTTGTTTTTTCAAGGGGTCGGCTTTGTACTCCACAAGATTCAGCATCCTTTGAATGCTGGCTTTCATCTCCGCCGGTGTGGGATCATCTGCAACCACCAAAGCCTTGGCCTTTTTAGCCTTCGGCTCGGCCTTCGGAGCAGCTTTGGCCTTATTCTTAGGGGCCATGATGCCAAAAGCAAAAGGGCAACTATATACAACAGTGGCAGGCTCCAGCTTTGAATTTGATCTGGAGCCACAAATAAGAAAGTGTATAGCGTGCTGTGACATGTCAGAGAAACATGA